TCGGTTCACCTAACGTGAATCAGTTCACCTGAACAGTTCGGTTCACCTAACGTGAATCAGTTCACCTGAACAGTTCGGTTCACCTAACGTGAATCAGTTCACCTGAACAGTTTTTTGTCTCTGACCTCGTTTGTGTTTGTTGCCGTAGCGTTTGCCAGCCTCAGCGTTGCCTTGGTGACGCTTCCCACGCAGGTGATGATGAACGGCGCTCGCAGACGCCTCTCCTCTACGAACGTCTGGAGACATCCAAGGAGTTCCTGACCCGGACCGAACCGGGCTGCATGGACCCGAAGAGCCGACCCTGCTGCCGCCTGAGAGGTCAGAAAGAAAATCTCTCATCTTTTATTTCAGCCTCAGAGTTTCTGTTTTATATTTCAAACATTTCTATTCCAATTATTTTATTTTTAGAAAAAAAAAACTACAAAACAAAAGAGAAATACATTGTTTTAGTCCCTGATTCGTTTCTTTCAAATATTCATTTATTTTCTAAATTTGGTCATTTTTTAAAACAAAAGCTGTTAATCTTTAAATATTTTTGACGCCATATTAATGATGAAATACTAATTTATGTGTGGAAACAAAAAGAACTGAAATAAAATTTTAAATCAATAAAAAAAATGAAGAGTTTAAAATTTCAAGAAAGTAATTTAGACAAAAACTTCTATTTTAAATTGTTGTAATAGAAAATTACAATTTGTTTTTTATTACAAAGTCTACTGAATTATTTTCTTAGGTAATTAATGTTGACTATTTTTGTTTTATTCTCAAACAAAATAGAGTTAAATGTTTTAATTTCTTACTTTTTTCTATAATAAATATTTTAGTTCTGCAGGATCGGAGCGTCCATCTGGATCCAGTCCAACAGAACTTTCTAGATAAAACAGAAAAAAACGCTTCGTCTCTTTAAATAAAACACAGTTTCTATTCAAATCAATGAAAATAAATAATGATATAAAATGTTTTTATTTTTAAGTGTGCCGTAAAGTTGACAGGTTTGGTTCTGATGATGTTCTGTGGAAAATGAAGCCGCTGCACGCTGAAGCTCTGCAGGTTGGTTCTGTGTGGCCCGTTCAGATCTCTAACAAGATCAGGCAGCCTAAGCAAACAGCAGGCTGACCTTTGACCCCCATGCAGGGAGGGGGGCGGGGGGATTAATGGAGCTCCTGCTGAGCTGCAGCTTCATGGAGAGCAGCTGGACGGACGAGCCCACCTCACATTTCTTTACTTATCCAGCAGCCATGAAGGTTCAAACCGGGCCGGTTCTGTTTGGTTCCGACTGCAGAACCTCTGATTGGGTCCAAAACAGAATCCAGTGTCATTTACAGCATGAAGCTGGTATTTTGGACACATTTGGACCTTTAATGTTTAACAGAACTGGGTCCGATTGGCCGGTTCTGAAACTCAGCAAGAAACAACTTTAACAGAAACCAGCTCTTTTAATTTCATTTACTGATAAACTGATTCTGTAATTTAAATGTTTATTATTTTTTTATGTTTTTATTTCTGTCCATTTTATTGATAATTATATAAATAAAAACATGAAATTCATGGATTTTATTTATTTAACTATAGATTCATATCATTTCTTTCATTTCTTCATTAATTCTATGAGGAATCTATTCTTTGTTTAAAATTATTTTTAAATCAAATGTGTTTAAAAAATAATTTCTTAAATCCAATTTTAATGAAGTGATTGTTTTTATTTATTTTATAAAATGTTTATTCATTTAAATATAAATTTTTTGGTTTTTATTGCCTCTTCATTGAAAAACATAATATAAACTTATTTCTTCTATTTTAATGTACTGATACAATTTGAATTTAATTATGAATTTATAATAAATAAATCAAAATTATTTGTATTTTCTGGAACAATAGAGCAGATAAAAGAAAAAAAGCTAAAAAATAAAATTTTAAAGATTTAAAATTAAAGCAAGTTCAGCTCCTAAAATATAAAACTGAAATAAAATTGTTTGTATTTCTGTGACAGAAAGACATTGAGGAATATTTTTAAGGTGGAATCACTATTTTAAATGTCACCATGTCTGATTTATAGATCATTAAACAAAGAAAAAATGAAAAATATTTTGTCTCGCCACATTTTTTACCAAAATAAACTCCACAAAACACCATGAAAGCCTATTAGGAACTCTGGATGAACCCTCAGACTTTATAGATCCACATCTGGACTGAATCAGTTGAAGCATGTTTGTTACACAAAGGTTTTAGCAGGCAGTCTGCTAGGAGGAAATGGGATTTTGACATAATGCCAAATTGCAAAAAAGCATTTTTTCCACTCCTAAAAAGCAATCTGGTCAGAGAAATATGCTGATTTTCATTAATGGAGACTTTCTGCGTCAGACAAAGCCTTTGCTCCTCAGATTTAGTCGTTGGTTAATTCAAATTTACCAATAAAATCACCAAACTGAATAGAAAATAAGAATAACAGAGCAGCTTATGTAAAGCATGGTGGTTCCATCACCTGAAATGATCACACAATGACCTCTGACCCCTCCTTGGAAAGGTCTGAGCCTCTATTTTCCAATGATGGCAGCCATTAGGGGCGGGGCTAAAAATTAATACCTGCTGTTGTATTACTCCCGCAGAGTCACACATGTCAGGTGGAATTTAAAACCTAATTTTATTTGTTTACACAGCTATAAAACAAAAGTATTTATGAAAAAATATATTTTTAACCAGTTTTAGAAATTTTCCTTCCTGAATAAAAAGTGACAGAGCGTCGGTCCTGGTTCTGCGGTACAAGAAATATAAATCTAAATAAATAATTTTTTCTTAAAAAAAGTGAATTTTTTTATTTGAGGAGGTAAGTGAAACACTTTGCCAATGGAACAAGACAATTTACATATAAAATAAGAAAAACATAATTGCATCGTCCTATTTCAAGTTCATATTATTTAATTATCTAAATATTAATTCCATTGGCAAATCAGTTCATTTACCTGCTCAAATGAAGGGTAAATACAGTTAATCTAAGATATTATTCCTTATTTCTAGATGGTATTTGCAGTGTGGTTCTAAGGTCTGGGGGGTTCTGGTGTCTCCGAGTCAGAAACACAGAGCAGGTCCAGCTTTAAAAACAAACCATAAAAGCTTAAATCCGTCCTAAAGGTCAGCAGAGTCTGATTGGATCAACTGCTGAGAAAGAAACCATTTAAAGAGCTGCGCAATAATCAGCCGATTAGAGCTTTGAAAGCCTTTTCTAAAATAATGTGATTTAAAGAGGCTTAACTTTAAAATATACAAGGTGATAAAAAAAAGAAAAATCACTAAAATAGTTTTAGAGCGGAGGTCTTCAACAGGGGGTC